GAGAGAGAGAGAGAGAGAGAGAGAGAGAGAGAGAGAGAGACAGAGAGAGAGACAGAGAGAGAGACAGAGAGAGACAGAGAGAGAGACAGAGAGAGAGAGACAGAGTGGTACACAACAGACACACCATGAGTGTATGTCCACATCAGAACAAAATCTCTAGAAGTGAATTTGGCAAAACTTTTTTTTTTTTTTTGGTGGTAAAAGGGATTGAACTCAGGACCTGGTACTTGCCAGGCAGGCACTTATACTACTGAGCTATCTCCTTGTCTCAGCAAAACTATTTTTTAAAAAAACCCACAAAGATGTGCTTTCCATTTCCAGAAACATATTCTGAGGAAATCATGGAATGATGGAAAGATAGGAAATTATAAATTTATCATGTTTAATGCAACCTATGATAAAATAGTTTAATCATAATACAATACCATACTCAATGCATTCATTAAAAAGATGCAAGTTTTTAATAATTGAAAAAAATAGTTTCATATAAATCATTTGTCAAAACATTGCTAAATAGCCACATGTAAAATCTGACCTTATCTGTGTAATATATATTGCTGGAAAAGAAACTGAATAAGTATAACATCAGAATTCTTGTAGTAGTTATGTACCACAAAGCAAAATCCCCTGAAAATATTTGTAACATCTAACAAAAAATTAGCAATAAAAACATATAAAGATATCCAACAAATCAACAGAAACAAATTAACAAGAAATTTTTGAATCAAAAATACGTGCTGAATTTGATCCCCAGCTTGCCATGCTGTCCCCATCCCCAGGGCGCACTGAGAGGGCAATTGAGACTGGGTATGTTGGCACGAGCCTGTAATCCCAGTGCTTGGGAGGCTGAAAACAAGACTATCACTATGAGTCCAATCTGTCTAGTGAGACCCTGCAAACCCTGTAATAAATACATTTTTTAAAAAAAGTGTGCTGAATTTTATTATGTGATGAAATCATAGAATTTTTTTTATTTTTCATTTTTAGGGAAGGGTTTACAGAGTGTTAAGGGTCCCACTCCTAGATTGGACTTGTAGTGATCTGCCTATTTACAGTCTCCCAAGAGCTGGGATTATAGGTGCGCACCACCAAGCTCAGTCTCAATCACCGTCTCAGTGTGCTCTGGGGCTGAGCCAGTATAGCACAGGATCGAACCCCCGGCCCCTGTACCTGCTTGCAGGTGCTTTAATCTGCTGAGCTATTTGGCCAGGCCAAAATTGTAGAAATTTTTGTCCTGCCTATTTCATGCTAATAAAATATATTGCAAAATAAGAAAATATCAGAATGTATACATAGAAAGTTTATGCATATGACAAGGAATGAAGTAGTTTATAAAAGTAAAGTTAATTTTGTTGAAATGATACTTCTTTAGTCTTTAACATATCTTTACACACATGCGTGTGTTTGTACTCAAGTGACAAGTTGAAAATCAGAAGAAGTTATACATTTGTGTTCATGGAGAGCCCAAAAGAATCTTTGAACTAGGCTTTTTTTTTAAGAATCTTTAAAAAATTTATGAAAACACAAAACTCATACATGAAAGTCAGTTGCATTTCATATAATACCAAGGAGATTAGAAAAATGTTTTAAAAATACAGTAACCCTTAAAGATAAAAGAAAGAACAATAAAAACCTAAGACATATAGAAATAGTTTTTCAAACAGAGGGGCAAGAATTTTATGGAGAACATTGTAGTATTTTACTTATTAAACTCAGGTGGTCTAGATTAATTATGTCTCTCCTAAATTTATGGAGAAGAAATCAAATTTCTTCCTGTTCTCCAACATATTCCAAAATAAATTTCAGTGGGTCAGGCAAATAGCTCAGTAGAATAAGCACTTTCCTGGCAAGCACAAGGGCCTGAGTTCAATCCCCAATTCTGAAAAAAAAGAAGAAGAAAAAGAAAAAGAAAAAAAAAAAAAAGAAAGAAACCAAAATCAATTTCAGAGATATTAAAGATTCTAATATTAAAAAAAAAACCTAAAATGTTTTTTGATTTTTTTTTTTTTTTTGGATGATAACATAGGAAAATATCTTTGTGACCTCTAGGCTACAAAAGAGTTCTGAAGAGATTCTTGCTCAGAAAGGAAAAATACTTAATAATATTAAAGACTTGGATGAATATAGGGTTGAAAATTTGAAAAATATATTTGTAACATCTAACAAAACATTAGCAATAAAAACATGTAAAGATAGCCAACAAATTAACTAGCAGATGAAGGGAAACAGAACAAAATAAAAAGTTGAGAAAATTGTTTTTTCACACGTTTTGAAACATAACAATTGGCATTTATTTATGGGTCAGACCCTCGTGCTGGTCGTTTTATCCCTGGATAGACTTACCGGCAGGAAGGAAGGGTGGCGGGGGCTGGTTCTAGGGCTTCCTGGGGTCAGCCAAGGATCGCCTTCTCAGACTGTGGGATGGTGGTGACGTCAGGATCCATTTTATTATTATGACATCATATATCATATTATGAATATAAATGTGCAGTGTTTGTATTGTTTGTTTATAGTTTTTTGTTAATGAATAAAAACATCAAAAATGAGAGACAGCTTCATTAGAACCGGTTGGAGGAATCTTATTTTTTACTTTTCGGTACTGTGTAGTCTGAGCTTTTGAGATACAGTGCATGGGATGAATTTGTAGGTTTCTCAGACTTGGTTTTCCCCTGTATTAAATGGAGCTAATACATAACTCATAATGTATTGTTAGGATACAACTAGATCATACTTTAAAAAAAAAACTCGTTTATGTAAGTCTGTGAGTATTAACATACTACAGTAGAAAAGAGTTTTTTGAAAAGAAACAAGTAGGAATCAGTCCATCTTTTGAAATGAAATATGCAGAGGTCATATTAAATCACTTCTGCATTATTTACATTATCACCAAAGCACTGAGCGAAACTGCCAAGCAGCGCGCGACCCTGTTCCCAGCGGGTTCTGCCTGCGCTAACTCGGACGCGACCGGGAAGACTGGCCAGGGGTCTCCCAGGAGGCGCTCAGCGCCCTTCGTACTAACGCTTGCTTTCCATCAAAAGAAGATAAAGGCGGGATTGCAGGCACAGGTCTGAGCAGACCTGGCAAGGACGTGGTGTCTTCAGTCACTCAAGGGCACCCCAGGCCCCAGCTCCTCCGCCGGCCAGCCTACCCTCGGGCCCCACGTCTGGATGACTTTGATAAAGCTATATCAGAACCGAGTGGTTTTACATCCCCAGAGAGGTGGGCTTGGGGTCGCTTCCGCTGACAAAAGTCAAGCTACTCTCTGCAAGAAAGACAGACAGAAAGAAAAGGTTACATTGCTCAAACTTGAACCCCAAGGAGACGGCAGAATTTCCTCCAATCGTGAGGAACCCAGAAAAAAAAAGATCACACTTCCTGGCTGCCCACTCATCTTCCCACCCCTCCCCCGGGTCCCCTTTAGCGACACAGAGAGAAATCACAGTAGAGAATTAATAACGCCGTGAGCCAGTCTTTCCCTCGGCGGCGGCGTGTGATTCAGCCCCAGCTGCGGGAGGGTGGCAGCGAGCTCTTTAACTCTGCGCGCTCTGAACCAGCTTTCAGTATTAGACATCTGGAGTTTTCGAAAATTAACACTGGAACAAAAGTGACTGTCATCCTCCGTATCCCCTTCACCCGCCCGCAGTCCAAACCTTAGGGTTCTTGGGGGCAGCTTTGAAAAGAACAAGCGAATGGGAAACGCCGCGTGGAAATAGGGTTCCAAGCAACACCCAAGTGCGTGGTAGCCATCGCCGCCACCTGAGGCCGGTTTCGCTATAAACGAAGGGTAGAATGTGTTTTACCATAAATGACACTCCCCAAACTCTGTACCCAGCCTCCTTCCTCTCTCTTTCCAGCATATCTATTTAATCACGCTCGGTGGCAGCAGGTGATGCAATAGTTTCAGTGTAACTGCCTTATCTAAGGGTGTGGGATGACAAGCCTGCCCTTGAGGAGGGGCAGGTGTGGACAGCACGCCCCTCCCGGTCCATCCTTCCGCCCAGCCTCCTAGGAGTATCTGTGGTGCCCCCCCCCCAAAAAAAAAAATTCCACAGACCAGAAGGGCCCTCTGGGGTGATAACTCATTTGGCCTTTCCCATTTCTGACGTAAAAATTGAATAATAAAATCAATCTCGAGTTCCCTCAGCTGCTGTCTGGTTTTCCAAAACTGGAACTTACCTAGAAGGACTCAAATACCCAGAGGAAATCCTGTGGATGGCCACAAGCAGCACCTTAGAGTCTTGGTGGTCACTGACCGCTGGCATTCTCAGGATGACACCTGTTGGGGACACGTCTCGTGGGTGAGCTTCACACCACCAGGCAGAGTGAATGCTTCCAGACCACCAGAGTAAGAGCAACACTTTTGCTAAAACCTCACAGGACTCCCTCACCCAAAGAAGATAAATTATTGGCCCAACAACACGACCTTGAAAGAGCTGTCTGGAATGGTTGCCTAACCCACCAGAGAATGGGGAGCTCGTCAAAGAACACCTCTCTGGGACACTCACTATTGTTCTCCAGAACATTCTGCCCCAGAGCTGCTTGCTCACCAAGGAACAAGGAACCTCAGATAAGAGCCAAAGCTGAGGGGAGATAGCTCAGTGGCTTAAGCATCTGTCTGCGTCGTGGCAAGAGCAAAGTCCTGAGTTCGATCCCTGGTACGAGGATACAGCTCAGCGGCACAGTGTGGGCCTGGCAAGAGTCAAGGCTCAGAGTTTTTGGACATCTGCCCTCCTCTAAGGAGAAAGGCTTGGCACCTAAAACACGACTGACAAGTCACATCACCTCCTTTTTGGGAAACCTCTTTGTTAGAGTTTGATATCACTCATCAATATGATGCTATCAGTTAAATGACTTTCACAGCAGCTCCACATGAACTATTTGGACGCGTGCTCCGTTTTCCTGTTACAAGGACGTTCCCGCTATTAAAAACAGAAAAGAAAGAAAGCTGGCCCTGACCTTCTCTTAACAATGCGAACTTTTACTTCAAGAAGAAAATCGTGGGATTTGACCTGGGTGCATTTAATGTTTTCACTCAGCCTTCTTGGAAATTGGGTAAATGGACAAATAGTTCCTAGGATTTAATATTGCATTTAAAAATAGATGTGTACTGACCTTTGTTGCTTTGTTTACAACTTGAGTGCCTTTTATGGAGGATATATTCTGGTGACAGAGGTATTTTTATTTTATTGAAAAGCGTCGTGGGACCTGGGAGAGGCTGGAGTGGAAAGCGGTTAAACAAGTTTATTAATCTTTTCTTTTAAGAAAGTCTTTTCTACTCTCAAGTCAGAAAAATAATCACCTACATTTTCTTCTCAGAGAATTAAGGTTTCTTTTGGCGTGTCCATCCCTTATGGGGACTTGTTTTTGACTGTGGTATGAATGAGAATGCAAAGTTCATTGATTCATAGTTACAATCAGTCTTCCAAATCCATTCATCCGCAATTCCCTCCTTTCCTCGCTGCTCAGTTATGTCACTGCCACATTGTGTGACAAATGTCCAAGTACAGGAAGAGATTATCACCCTAGTGACAAAGTAATGCAAATTGGGACCACTGAGGTATTGTTTTATGCCCATTCAACTGGCCTCTATTCTGCTGCCCTGAAAATTTCTTTGTTCTTAGGCTGATACTAAACCATATTATTTATTATAAATTGTTCTAGGGTAAATCCAGCTGCTTGTTGGTATGATATCTTTCTACACATGAAATATGTTTTCCTAGCAGTTTTCTTATTTATGTACCTAATATTGAAGGCTGACTAAGCCTGCCATTTTCATTTCTTTTCCTATTCTTGTCCAATTTTACTTTTAAAAATTTAGTTTGTTAATTAATTGCTGTACTGGGGATTGAACCCAAGGCCTTGCACATGCTAGGCAAGTGCTCTACCACTGAGCTACCCTCCTAGCCTTCTTGTCTGTGAATTCACAGCATGTGCTGTGCGCCTTCTTTCTCTCTGAGTTGGAGGGATAACCCAAAGAACAGGTTGTAAGAAAAAAATTTTAAAGATTATAAAATTACACACACCCATTGTCAGAGACGGTAAAAACACTCAATATTATTTTAAAATAGATGTTCTTAATAGAATTATCATCCCAAATATATTGTTAAATATTTTTGGTATAATTCCTTCTGAAACTTTCTTTGGTATCTGCAAAATACATTCAATTTATTATTTATTTGTTGTGTATCTATACACATACATATAATGCACACACAGAATTATGATTATAGCAGTGTATACCTACCCTTTTACTACTTTTTTAGCATCCCCATGGGATTAAATATTCCTTTAAAAAATAAAAGGAATTTCAGAACTACATATTAAGCTGAAAAATTATACATATTATGAAAGCAAATCCATGTTAAATTCCCTTTGGGCCCTAAATAAAAATTTCCATTTGTTTCTGGGTTTTAATGCATTAAAAAGCCAGTCTGATAATCCGTTAATGTACATTTTCCATTTTCTGCTGAGTTTCACGCAAGAGTCACCTTCATTCTTAGCTCCTCCCTGGGTGACCACACCTTGGAGCCCATCAGCCCTCTCACGGGCGCCATCTTGAATCTATCCTAGATCCAAGGCCCTGGTGCTCAGGGCGGCCTTCCACATCTCCACACCCTGGGCTGCATTCTTTCACTGCCTCCAGGCCTGGAGCTTGTCCTGACTAACACCTAAGTACCCGCCTGGGCTCAGAGTCTGCTCATGCGCTGCCCTCAGCTTCTCTGGGCCCTGGACATGTGCCTTCTTAGTACCAGGTGCTTGTGTACTTACTTTGTTAGTCAGTAGGCCAAGCCAGCAAAAGTACGTGGTGGTTCACCGCGCTCCATGGGAGGCCTGCTGCGGCCTGGGCTCCATTCTGGTGGCTGGAGCCAGTCACCCCACCAAATGCCTGATTCTGAACTCAGCGTCTCTGCCTGGTGGCCTGCTAGCCCCAACTGGGCCCTCTTGGCTCTCAGCATCCTACTGAGGTTGTCATGTCCCTTTCAGTGCTGTACAGTGAACTCCAAGCCATCCGTCATGGGTCGCAGTTCTACAGCCAGCTTAGTCTCCCCCTAGTTCTAGCTTCTCCTGTCCTGGTAATCCCTTTCCAAGACCTTGGAAGACTTCAGGGGAGCCCCTCAGGCTCAGGCCATGGCAACTCCTGTAGTCTGCAGAAGCATCTTGGCACGTATTCTCCCATTCTAATTTTAAAACAGAAGATAACTCTGCAGGTAGTAGGGAGGCTTGCTGACTTTCGGTTTCAGTAAAGAGGAAACTGGTTTCAAGGAATCTGATGACTTACCTTATGTTTTACATAATTAGTGAATGGCCTCTTCAGGTCTTAAATCAGGCTTGGTCTCTCATTTCAGTGTTCTTTCCCTGGGGGTAGGAGGGGGATAGCCACCCTCCACTTAGACTGGAACTTGCAGTTCATTTCAGGAAACAGGTAACTTTCAGCCGTGAAGGATTAATGGGTTGGGCCTTCCAGGACAACATTTTAACTTCTAAAGAATCATTCAGGGCTGGGGAGATAGCTCAGTAAATAAGTGCCTGCCTGGCAAGCGTGGGGTCCTGAGTTCAATCCCCGGTACCAAATAAATAAATAAATAAATAAATAAATAAATAAATAAATAGCTTATTTAGGGGCCAGGGAGATGGCTCAGTAGGTTAAGTGCTTCCCTGGCAAGCACAAGGGCCTGAGTTCAATCCCTGGTTCCAAAAAAAAAAAAAAA